TAATAAAATTAAAATTAAATCTAATTTCTTTTATTAATTTCTATAATTAAATTGTGATTTATTTGTTAAAGGTTATGTTTCATTTATATAGAAATTACATTGAATTAAATTTTAAACAATCTTTTGAATAATAATTATAATAATTTACATTTTGAAGAATTTATTATAGAATATATATATATTTACGATTCTATATTTTGTATAATATTTGACAATTATTTAATTAACAAAAGGAAAAAGAAATGTAAATAAATTTGTTTTTTTTTTTATTTATATAATTTAGTTTGAAAACAGATTTTAAGTAAATAAAAATTTGCAGGATATATAATACATTATCTAAGTATTCTGTACAAGCGCGCGAAAATTTATGAGAACTGAGTGGTAATGGTAATAGTAGTGACAAAACGTTTTGTAGCGGTTGGTCTCTTTGGGTGGGGAAAATCAATAGGAAAACCAAGTTTAAATTATAGTACAGATCATTAATGTTTAATGAATCTTATATTAATATTTTTTTAATATTGTATTATATATGCGAATGTGCCTCTTTGTGAAATCTTTACAATGATGCTTTCAAAATGTGGCGTCTCGTGATGTATATGGAAATTTGATTGAATGTAGTGTGTACTCAGTTATCATTAACAGCTGTGTTCAATAAAAAGAAAATGTTTAGAAACTATTTAATTGATGCTTCTTGACATTTAATTTGAAAAACGAAATATCAATTTACACTTAATAATGTTGATACTTCGAGAAATTTTCTTGACTTATTTCATATTGTGTATGTTATTACAAATCAATTATGTTAAAAGTACACATATTTCGGGTACTTTTAATACAAAAGAATTTTTTCGTTTTCTCATAAAATTCGGTTTTCAAAAGACTGATCGTCATCGACAAAAAGATTCATATGGATATATTTTTGGTAATGTAACATCAAAAAGCGATTTTACTATACCAATTACATTGGCTGTTTTGGATCGTGGTCATTTTTTAGAATATTATGGTAATCGTACATTAAAGGATAAAAACACTGCTTGTACTCTTATGTTTAATACCTTGAATCAAAGTTCTTATGATGTACATTGTAATGAAGAAGGACAAGATTTTTTGAGGTATATTAAATTATTATTTTACAAATTAGAATGATAAACTTAAAGACTTATAAGCTTTAATTTACAATTATTTAATTTCTATTTTCATGAAGGAGAGTACCTTGTCCAAGAAATAAACTATGTCCAGATGAAGATTCCATATGGAATATTGTAAAAGGATATCAATTCACATATGTCATACAAGATTTTTGGCAACCACGTTTTTGGTATATGAGTCTAGTAGCTTGTTATAGAAATACATCTACTTGTCAATGGGAATATTATGATAAACATGATGAACTAGAATATGATATTTGGCTAGTAAATGGAAATCCAAATACTAGTGGCCTAAATAGTTTAACATACCAATTTTCATATGATAGACAAAATACTATAGAATTATATTTGTTGTTTTTTATGTGTTACATTATATTGGTACCACTACAATTATATGCTGTAAGATTACAAAAACATCCTGTAACAAGATTATTCACTGCTAGTTTATTATTAGAATTTGTAGCAGTATGTTTGATTTTGATACATGTATTGAAATTTGCTCTTGATGGAGTTGGATATGAACAATTAGAAGTTGCTGGAGATATTTTTGATATTCTATCAAGAGTGAGTTTTAACAAATAATTTCATTTCTTTATTCAATAAATTATATAGTATATTTTACTTGATAATAATGATTTATATATTTTGATATATTTTTAGACATCATTCATGTTACTTCTTCTTCTTCTTGCTAAAGGATGGGCTGTAACTAGAATGGAATTGACATGGAAGCCATTAGTTTTTACTATATGGCTTTGTTATGGAGTAGTTCATATTCTATTATATGTATGGAATATGGTAAGTTTATTTATATATTTTTTTTCTATCAATAATTTCAATTAATTAAAAAAATAATATTTTCAGACTGAAGTTGACATTATTGAAGATATTGATGAATATCAAACATGGCCAGGCTGGTTTATACTTCTGTTTCGCAGTGCAATAATGATTTGGTTTTTATGTGAACTTAGAAATACTATGACATATGAACATAATACTCAGAAATTAAATTTTTTACTTCATTTTGGTGCATCTTCATTAGTTTGGTTTATTTATTTACCTATTATAGCACTTATTGCTCTTCAAGTAAGCGCACTGTGGAGGTTTAAACTTCTATTAGGTGAGCATATCATAAAATTTAAAATATATATATATAGCATCTCATTCTTATCTATGTATTATTTTTATAGGTATTACATATTCTGCTGATTGTTTTGCATATTGTGTAATGGCACATTTACTTTGGCCAACACGAAGTGAACAATATTTTTTACTTGCACAAGGAGCTGATAATGGAGATGAACTTGATGAATTCAATGAAGCACCACATGTACTGAATAATTATGTGGAACCTCCAGAACTTACTAAAATAATTACTTAATGTCAAAAATATCAAAGGCAAAATTTTGCGTATATAAAAAATCAAACATAAAGTTTGAGATATATTGTTTGCCAAATAAAAATTTTATAGGGTTGATAATACTCTGCTATGTATTACTTGAGACTGATATATTCTGCACACTATGTAATTAGAGATATACTAATAATCAAATTTACATTTGTGATAGGAAGTCAATAATTGACACAATAAGGAATAAAATGGGTGAGTATGATATGAGTATGTTTAAGTAATTTTTAATTTAAAAATATGAATGATTAAAAAAAATATAAGCATATGATTGGGTTGTAACAGTTTGTAGATACAAATAGATATTATCTACTGTACAATTTTTATGTACATAATGATTAACTATTAGATATTTAATATCGATGGAATTATTATGTTACATATAATAGTATTTGTGTATACATAGATTTTATTCTATATTATATTTTTTACTATTTACAATACAACTGAATACAATTCCATCATTGTAGTATACTTCGATTTTAGATTGCTCATATCATACTCTTGAATTATAAAAATTTAATATTATTATAATTTAGTATTATTATTTTTTCCATTACTATTTATTCATTATATGTAAAAAATTCAATATTTTTCAAACATAATCATATAATTGTAAAAATTTTAATCTTATCTTTTATTCTTGATTCATATTCATGTTCATATTTGCACTGAATGGAAATTGTTTTAATGTATATTTTGAAAAAGTATAAAATTTAATAAATATAATTTTTTTTATGTTAATTGAAAAATATTTATAGAAACATATATATGATTCTGATGTATATAAATGAAATTGTGCATCAATATATCATATACAAAGTTCTTATGAAAGTATTCTATATATATTAATAATTTTTTCAGTGTTATATTACAGTAGAAATGCTGTAGTAAAATATGAACCAATGAAATTATATAAATATATCTTTTGTATATATTTTAATAACAATTCTTATCATCTCAAAAATTTTTGTTTGAACTATTTTTTTGATTTTTAAATAGATGGAATCATCAAAGATATAATATTTAACAAAAAAGTAATATTTTACAATGAAAATAATTTTATTCTTTAATATTTATTTATAAACAATTTCATAAATTTTTTGCTCAATCTTGTAACAAATCATCATTAAAATAGTAAAGTATTTATCTAGTATATTATGAATTGTGTACTACAAGTTTTGTATAATAATTTTAATAAAATAAAAAATATAACTTAGAATAGACAACAGTAAAAACTATAAGATTTTTAAATATATTCATTAAGAACACATTTAAAAGAAGATATTTAAAAAAATGTAAATAAAATGTTTTTAAGAAAATTGTTTATTTATGACAATGCATTTTTATTTTACAAAGATAATTAGAATCTTTGATATTTACAGAATGTACAAATCTTTATGCTATTTTTGAAGTATTGCTAAAAGTTTATAGATTAATGTATGTGAATCAGTTTTGAAAACATTTAATATTCTTATATACTGGAAAAATTTTAAAAATAAAAGGCAAATATGAAAATTGAATCAACTTAAACCTGCATGCAAGATTATATATTGTTATTATTATGAAAAAGGTAACTAAAAATAACTAAATATATTAATATTATATTAATTCTATATATATGTTTTTCAATATATAAAATTTTTAACTGTTTAAAATTCTTTTATGAAAATTAAGTAGCAAAATAATTTAATAAACAATAAAATATTAATTAAAACAAAATTTCAAATGAATTTTTGATTTATGTAAATAATATTAACTTATCCCTTATTTATATATTAATTATTTATTTATATATTATTCACAAGTAATCCTTTTCATTCTATAAAATTTATTATTATTTTCTTCCACTTTTATAATAATTTTAAGTTCAAAGTAAGGTTATCTATCAATTGTTTTGGACCTGGTCCAATCCCTAATGTAGATATTGTTCCAGGTTGCAATTGAGTTTTACCTGCATCTTTTATTATAGAAATAATTAAACCAGCTTTATGAGCATTTTTAGCTAATGATAATAATTCTTCTTCACTAGAAATTTTTAACACAACTTTAGATTGGCCTTGCAATAACCAAGATTTATACATTTGTTGATATTTTGTATTAAGTGATACTTGATAACAACATTGTACTGCTGCATGAGCACATTGAGCAGCAGTTTTCCCCTTTCCCATAAATATATCTGATCGGACAACTAATACCATTTTATATTGTTCATTCTTTGAATATATTATAGGATTAATAAACATACATTTTATATAATGCATTATTGACATGTTTATTCATTTGAATAAGATTCTTCTCTTTTTCTTTGATATTCATCCATACATACTTTGAATCTTTTTACTTGCTCTTGACACTTTCTCCAATCTTGAGTTTCTGCTATACACTCCTGTAAATTTAATAAATAGAAAGTAATAATAGAAAATAATGATACTTTTATATATTTATATATATTATTTTATATCTATATACATATATTTATATTATATTTACATATATATATTTTCATACTTAAATACATAAAATTAATACTTGAACTTGATAATGAAATTCCATACAACCAGTTTTTTTTAACATCTCTTCTACAGGATCTTGAATATTTTGTTGTTGCGAATTTAACTTAGGAATCATTATATATTTATATTATAAATGTAATATCAAATAGTTTAATATACAATAAATATATTTATTTATTTATTAATTTTATTTTATTAATTTTAAGGTTATTTTGCATGCATTTTCTATAATCTACGATTTAATACAATACAGATAGGTATAT